CCCCTCAAAATAAGTAAGTTAAAAGAAAAGACTATCTTGAAAACATAGCCTGGGGTTATACATATTAGAAACATTTTGCAAATGGGTAATTGAAAACCTTTTGCCAAAAGCTGATTTTTGAGGCCCTATATCAAAAAGGGAAAATAAGGAAAAGTTTTATATGTTACCATCTCTCAACTCAGCGGATATACATTTCTGATTTAAAGAAACAAAAGGAACACAAAAGTCTAGTAGCCTGTAAAGTCAAATTCCATCTTCCTCTGTTAGGAGGTGGCTATGATTGTGTCAGAGAAAGTTAACAAGTTGGAATGGAAAGTCATCCAGAGATGTTTCTTCAGGGGCTAGAATCTAACAGTGGGAGCTCTGCACTTGTTAGGGCTCTTCCTGCCATAGCTTATCTCTTTCACACACCTTACGTTTTCAACATGTGCTTAGTAACTTTCAGATAAGGCTTCTTCCCTTTCTTCCTTCTAAACTGCTTGCACATTTAGTTGATCACTAAAATAACATAATTTTCAACTTACATAATTGCTTCATCATCTTATGACTTTTATATTGTTCAACTTTTGGGTGACAACGCCCTACCCCATTCAATCAAAATCACAAGGTTGGATGTCAGTGGGTGGGATTTAACCTACTTAAATCCAAGTGTCAACCAAGTGAACAGACGACCATGATTTCAGTTTCTAGATTCCAAAGCTATATCTTGAATTCCTTTTTTCCACTTTCCTCTATGTCTTTCATTCCTTATGACATAAAATATTACACTGTTAGATGAAAAGGAAATAAAAATCATGAACGGAATTGTTCATGTAAAATGGAAAAACAATATCTTTAAAATTGTGAGAAGCAAAGTCAATCTGAGACTTCAATTTATTTACACAACTATAATTTCCTGCAGTTAATGGACAGTAGCATGAAAAACTAGAGCCTATATCAGTGAGAATAAGTAATTCTTCAGATGAAAAATGTAATTGGATCTTCATTTATTATGAGACAGTTTATACCTGGTTCTAGTCATCCAGAGATAGGTTGTAAACTAGACACCTGTTTTATGAGGCTGCTTATATCATGATGAAAGGAAAGAGCCACTCAACTGAAAACTGAAAATTACTATTCCCAAGTAGGTATCCAAGAGGAATGGCTCTAGAGTTTAAGAAGGTAGTTATAGAGTTACTTCCCATTAAAAACTCCAGGGACATTCAGTAAATAGAATGGTGGTGAGGAAAAGAAGAGAGAAGTGGATTTGGATATAGGGAAAAGGCTAGAACAAAGAGGGAGGTAAAAGCATGAAGTGAAAGAGAACCCAAACAAGATTGGCCAAGAAGAGAGAATGGGAGAGCTCTTGCTTATTGAACATTTACCACATACCAGGCTCTGTATTAGGTATTTTACACTCTATCCTAGTCAGTCTGTGAGACAAAGGGTAGATAATGTTAAACCACTTTCTAAAGAAGAAAAAAACCCTGAATTTTAGAGAGCTTAAGTGATGTGACCAAGTTCTCTGAACTAGTGAATGGACTTGTTGGAAATGAAACCCAGGAGTGTTTGATCTTAAAGACGGGACTTTTTCCAGAAACCAGTCTCAGTGACAGTAAGCCAGGCAAAGATTGGTGTGAAGAAGGAGAATTAGACTGCACTGTATGCAATGAAAGCAGAAGCAGTGTCTACCCTGTTTACTTTCTCGAGTACCTACACAGTCCCAGAAATGTAGCAATTTACAGTAAATACTCAAATAGTATTTTTGAATGAGTTGGGCTACAAAGGTTTGAGATAGGGAGAGAAGACCTGGAAGAAGAAGAAAGAAATAGAGACAGAGATAGGAGAGGGCAAGTAAGGGGGTGAGAAGAAAAAAAATGTGATTCTTCTTGGACAGTCTATGTACTCTTAGATTCCAGAGTCAAACCTATCAGCTTACTGTCAACATTCAAACTCTGCCCACATTCAAAGAGTTTTTGAGAAAGGAAAAAGTGCTTGATGGCGTACATTTTCGTAACTCAGGCACAAATACTTGAAAACTTTTCAGAAACCCAGTGAGGTATGAATCCCATACCACTTTATCGTTACCAGATGAAGGTGAGAAGTATGAACCATACACTCTGGGCAGGTAGCCATTGTGAAGCATGAGTGGGTCATATTTTGATACTCAACTAACAAGCTAACGATTAACCAGTCAACTAATAAAAACCTTTCAGTTAATAAATATTTGTCATGGTCCCACTTTGCACCCCAGTTGCAAGGAATTTACAAAGGAAAACATTTCAATAAAACATAAAAATTCAATGAAACAGCTCATTACTTTGTTAAAAAATTAGAAACATGATCATATTATTTTCAGACAGATGTTGGATTTAACATTGATATTCACTCATAAAGAAGAACTACTTACAAAAATAACAAAATGTAAAAACTCCATATTATCCTCGGATGGGTTTTGAGTATCCATGGTGGGGCTAAATCTGTTTCAGTATCCAAGAGTCTAAGTTTGACTAACACATTTGGTTAAGTTATGTATATTCTTTCCAAACGGAAAGGAGAGCTTAACTCGGATAATTTTTATTCCTTTTTTACAGACAAATTTAGAGCACTAGTAAGATTCAATTTCAAAACAGCAATCAACAAATCTGTTCTAAAACCTCACTAAGTTTCACTGGTCAGAGAAAACCATAGGCTGTGAGGATTCCCAGGTGATAGGCTTGATTGAATGTGTTGAAGACTTGGGCCACTCTTTTTGATCTCCTGGGTGGCCCCAAAGTGATCACGCCTTACAGAATCCTAGGGATCCTGAATGATGGAGGCTGTTGGCAATCCCCTGAGTGATTATAAACTCAAGGGATTGTCAGGATCCAAAAAATAGCTAGAAATTGAGCTGCCTTAGGAATTCAGAGAAACTAGAGTTGTTTGCCTTTGTGATATTGGCCTGTTGAGACATTTGCACAGAAAAACGCCAGTGCCAGGCAGGCATAGCATAATCAAATAGAATTGATTATTATGTAGTTTAAATGCACTAAAGATATTGAACTTCCTTTTTAAATCACAGAAAAGTCCTGTGCTGAACTATTAAAACTGGGGAAAAAACAATGTGAAGAGTACTATAATAATGTGACTTATTTAAAAAATGGATTTAATATCAGCCTTTGTGAATTATATTTGATGTTCCACCCATCATGCTCTGATATCTGTAGAAGAAACAATGAACGGTCTGTGATATGCAGAAATAATCAAGGGAAAAGTGCTATTTTATTTCTGTTCAATAGCTACATAACCTATGTAGAAAATGCAAAATTATTGCAGAAAAATACAAAGAATGAGATGATTTTTCACTGTCCTTTTAAAAAAGTAGATGTGTACGTGTCTGGCATTTTGTGAGCTTTTCAGAAACAGATAGTGAGTATGTGTGTCTGTCCAGGGAATTATCTATAGACATGGTGCACGAATCTTTCTCTTTTCTTTCAAATGAGACCCAGAAGACCAGTGTACTTTGTAATGAGGTTATGCAATCCCTTAACCCTATTTTACCAGCTGTCAGCAGCTGGAGGCCCACGTTATCCTTTGTAGAGAGCATCTCTCAATAGGTTATTATGTGAACAGCAACTGGCGAGCACAGCTTGTCTGATTAGAAATGCTAATGTTTTCCTTACCTCTTCCTTCTCCGCACTTTGCAGGTCACGCCACTCCTCAGTTATGTGACCGAAATCCACTGTGTTCATGGGGACTTTAAATTCCCCAATGATGTCATGCTTGGAGAAACGATCAAAATCATATACAGCCATCACCAAGGTTTTGCCACCCAGTTCTGAGTACGGCACCTTAATAAAAAGAGATGAGGATAAAAATCTGGTCACAAATTTAAAATGTTACTTTTTATAGTGTTTAATTGTAATATATATGTTGGATAAGCAAAACAGGGAGATAATGGTGCCTTTTAAAAATGAATTCATTTGAATCACTGCTTGAGGCTTAAACTGGGAGAAATGAGGGACTTACCATAGTCAGTTATCGCTTTATCCTAAAGTTCTAAAAGCTATTAGTATTATTGATTGACTAATAATTAGTATTAGTGATATTGACTGATGACTATTATATAAACACTTTAAGATTTAGCAGTGTTGGCACACAGTAGGCACTTAAACATGTATCGTTTGAATGATTAGTACCTCTTTCCGGTGGGAATTTGTTTAATACAAGAATAAACTAAGATGTATTGCACTTGACCATGTAGGTTTTACTTGTAGGATATTGTGTTATTGTTATGATCATTTATATTGTAAGAGTATAACTTAGGGTGGAAAACTTGCTTCCAAAGTCCCACTAAGTCTTTCAAGCCATTTGGATGCTACAATTTAATGGAGCAGTGATTTATGTAAAAGATATGCTAGGAGTCAGAAAGGATTTAAATGAAATTCACAAGTTGCCTCGCTCCCTAAAACAATTTACAGATAGACAAGAACTGACTAGAAAATTGATGTTCTGAGTATCAGAGATGCATTATAAAGATCTTGAGGTTCATTCTCAGGTATGACACTTGTTAGGATGAATGGTGGCAAAAGGCCAAGAGCTGATGGGTTCTCCAGCTGTTCAGATATATCTGGGACAGATGCTGTGGGATGGGATTTTTACTGGTGACATTTTTAATATTCAGGGGAAGTAGTGCATTCTAAGGAAGCTACACTTCAGTAACTGGGTAGAAATGCCTAATTAAGAAATTGTTTGGACTTGTATTGAAGGTTTGATCAATTTTTGTCAGTACAAATGGTTGTCTGAGCTCCATCAAACATTTCTCAATGAGCTTTGCATATTAAGGGAAGGAGAAGGAAGCATATTTGACCATATACGTATAGGAAATTTTAGTTTATCAAAAGTTTGTTTTTTTTTCTCACGTATTTGTCATCTATTTAGCATCTGATTAAAATACTTTGACTAAAATGGAGGAACCATGCTTTTTCCATTTTAGAAGAAAACAAAAAACCCTGCAAAACAGCTGAATTTCAAAGGAAGAAATGAATTTTAGAGTAGGGGTAAATATTTCGTCTTATTTCTGAAATCACTCTGGATTTTGTTGAGATTCTACTGAAATAACATAAAAAAAAACCTAGGCTTGGGGTCAGACAGGCCCAGGCCTGGGTTTTCCCACTTTCCGGCTGAAGGGCCTGGAGCAAGCAAATACACCTCACACATTTCGCCTATCAAATAGTGTTAATACTAAGACCTACTTCACAGAGCAGTGGAAGGCTGAATGAATACATGTTAGGTACAGTCGGCACTTACATACTTAATATTTGAATGATTAGTAACTCCTTCAGGTGGGAGTTTGGAGGAAAAGAAGCATTTAGGTCAGGGCATGTCACGTTCATGTGAAGTGGATTTGAACTCCGTTTTAAAGCCTATTCTCTTTAAACTATTATGCTTCGGTTCTTCCATCATCTTGCCTGTTGGCATTTCAAGATGCATAATCTACAATGTCTCCTGGAGAAATTAACCAGTTCTCTGGAAACAACAGCATAGTTCTAAGTGTATCAAAATACATCACACTTTGGATTGATTTATGGCTTTGTCAGCATTCTTGAAATAAAATAGAACCTGATGACATTTTATAGGCAGTTACAAAATTTCAGTAATTAAACCTTTTGAAGCCACAGAAATTACTAATAAAATTTTAGAAATACATTTTTTTGAAATAATACACAGATAACTCAGACACCATAGTATTTCAAATAATTTAAGAAATCTTAAATTGTGGTCAGTAACTCCTGACCTAAATGAAAATTAATACATAGCCAAACAGAATGATTGTCATTACCATTTGCAATATTTTATTAGTTTTATCTTCATTCTATGCTTTGTGGTAAATTGACCATAGTGATGAGTTATTCATAGGCTGAGTAGTTCCAGAATCTTTTTATTACTACTCTAAATGAACTATCTGGGTATAAAAAAGTGTAGGTTTTAGATAAGATTACTGACAATACTTTGGAGATTTTTGTCACAAAATCTGAAATTTCAGAGTGAATACAAAGACATTGCTGTCTTACAAAACTGGAAACAAGGCTTGAGAAAAGGACTCCTGCCCTTAGTTGCATCCATTTTATTTCGCACCATGGTATTTGCTTGCATGAGGCACATGCTATCGCTAAGGCCGGCTGATAGATGAGTGATGTTGAATCTACCTGCTGGCAAACTCACAGACCTTTCATTTTTCAGAAATGTATTATTTTAAGTAATGCATTTTACAAGTTTTTCACATATTAAAGATAGTTACCAAAGAAGTGCTTTTATGCGTGACTTTAAGACATGAGCTACAGAGCTGTATATGTAGAGAAGCCTGAGGCCTGCAGGGTACGTTTTCCTGTCAGTTATTTTATGGCCAGAATCTCTCTTTATTATTGTCAACTGAGGTGTCTCAGCAAGATTCAGAGCGCTAGGGAAAGGCCTAGAGTTAAAGGAAAATGCTAGAAATGCAGAAAAACAATAGGTTTGTATTCTTGTTAGTGATAGGTTCAGAATGGTCTTTAAGTGCTTAGATTGCCCCTGTACACACAGAATTCTGCAATGAGGGTAAAACCTATTTGTATCATTTTAACAGTGGAACACAGCTTACTTTATTCTGTGCTTGTAACTTAATTTTGGGAACTTAGAGACTTAGGAAAATAACAATTTCATTGCTTTTTTGTCTTTATTCAAGAGAGGGGGAAATGTTCAAGTCTATTGGCTCACTTGATGTTGATTTTCCTTTTTTGGATGTGATTGACATCCCCATTATACTCCAGTCTGTATTCTGTTCTGAGACGGCCAAGCTGAATCCTACTTTAACCAAATCTAAACACAGTGCAGAATCCTCACTGGAATGAAGATAAGAATTTTAAATATTCTGAATAGACTCATCCTTGAACCTCTGAATAAGTGGTCATGTGCATTTCTATGTATGTGTCAGGATGAGATGGGTCTTAAAACCACAGAGGAAAAGTTATTAGTACAAAAAAAGTACCTTGAAAGTAAATTGCTCATTGAAGACAGGATTAAGGGTCTTTCGGTGGACTTTTGTCTCAAATTTCTTCTTTTTATCGGGCAGCAGAAACACTTTAACATAGGGGTCAGACGTGCCTCCCATGTCTAAGGCAGGCAGCTCAGCAGCCTGGATAATCCCTACCAGCAGCTGGAAAGAGAGACAGAATAAAGCAAACACAAACATTGGTGGACATTTTAGAAAAGATTGTTCACGATATTGCATATTGTGATCTCTCTCCCTCTTCCTCTTTGCTTTTAATAAACTTTTATTTATTTCTCTTATGAATCTAAACCCAGAAGGCAAGTGAAGCAAGCCATATAGACTTCAGAAACCCAGTTATGACAGATGCAGGCTCTGGGAAGCCTGGTTTCAAACACAAAAGAGGCTTTTAAAAGGTTGCTGATTACAGTTAAATATGGAATTCATATTTGCAAAAGGGCTGCAATCAAATAACTTTCCAGTTGGTAAAAGCCCTTGTGCATTATTATTTTTTTTTCCAGGGCATGATTTGTAAATGGAAATAAATTGTTAAACAATAACAAGTCTGTAATTATGAAGTAGGAAATTTTTATACTAAACTCAAAGCTTCAGACCAGCGCAGTAGAAATTTCTTAGAAATTGGGTAGCATTTTGAGATAAAAATACGACGTGCAAGTTTCTATCATATTTGACCTTTATTTGTATGCTGCCTACTTTTTATTTTAACTTACAGTAAAATGATCGTTTATTCTGTTTAAATATAGGACATGGAGTCAAAGAATATAATCTCAGCTTCACATAAATGAAAGCAAGATTACATATATGGTTTTTAATGTTTTAAGTGACCAAGTTTCTGATTTTTTTTTCAAATGCAGAGATTCCTCCATGTCTTTTTTTCAGTGATAAATTCTTGTATTACTATGAATGGGAGTGTAGCTGGCATTGTTCATGTTTTTGCAAAGAGAATAAAAGGTGTGAGCGGATGATTCTAGAGGTGTTGTCATCAGACATTTTGTATCAACAGACTGGTTTAGACCCACATGGAAAACAAAAATAGACCCTTGTCCATAAATGCAATTACATTATGGCTTTACACATCAGGCCTGAAAATTTGAGTCTGACTTTTTAGCCAGTTCACTTCCTTTAAAAAAAAAAAAAAAAAGTCACATTCATTTTCCGTAAAATTGACCCACTGTGTTGGTAAGGACACTTTGGCTAGTTGGCTCAGTTTTTAACTGGGACCCATACTCTGGATGATTGTTGTTTCCGTTTTAGTGCTCAATATATTTGTGACAGCATCATACAACAGTAGCAATAAGAGTGCTGGATTATACATATGCAAAACATAAACAGATGGTCAACGAACAGCTAAAATAGACATCAGGTTATAAAGACATGATGAGTAAAGCAAATGGTTTGTCTCTTGGTTTGCCAAGTTGGTATTTGGAATTTGCCTTTAGGTAGCAATGTGAATAAGCAAGATTCTATTTCCTCCTCCCTTTGTAAAAAAAATTTTGATGTTTATTTATTTAGAGAGCGAGTGAGCCAGGGAGGGACAGAGAAAGAGGGAAATGGAATCTCAAGCAGGCTCTGCACTGGCAGCACAGAGCCCGATGCCGGGCTCGATCCTACGAACCGTGAGATCATGACTTGAGCCAAAATCAGGAGTCAGATTCTTAACTGTCTGAGCCACTCAGGTGCCCCTTCTCCTCACTTTTTGAAAGGAATTTTCTTTTGGGAAGGAATGCAGTTGTCCTATAACCTAAACTCTTTAAACCTAGGTGACTTACATTCTAAAGAGTTTTGGAAATTTTGTTGACAAGGGGTGGAGTTACTTCTTCCAACTGCCCCCCCTCTTCTGCTTGGAAGATAAATATCACATTTCTCTCTGCCATGAAAGGCTCTCATTTAGAGTACTTTACAGTTGTGTTTTAGTTTTTGTAAGCAAACATGTATATTTGATTATAGCTTAATATATAAAATTCCTCACACTATATTTTATGACTCATAGGATTCATTTTATAAATTAGATTAGCTGAGAACATTTGGAAAAAAAATCAATGCATACTAATTAAAAAATATTTCATCAGGTAGACTCTCCTAGACCTCAGAATGAGATACCTTTTTAACAATTTGATGTTTGCTAGAAAGGGAACAATAAAAGCACTCATTATATATGAGTAAGAAAAATGCTATTTTCTTAAAAATACTTTATAAAATGATACTTAAAGAATTTAAGCTGACTTAGAAGTTTCAAAATTATGACTAACCAGGATGAGATACCACTAGATTTCTACTGGGTAATATGAAAGTAGAATAAAGTATTAAAACATACTGGATACACATATAAAGGAAGGTTAAATTTCTGGAAAAAATGTTACATGTTAAGATAACATGTATTGACCTTCATCTTTGCCAGAATATGTAAATAATAGGAAGTTTTACTCTCAACCAACTCCTGATGATCAAATTTTGGTAGCTGGGATAAAAATGACCACAAATTCCCTATTTTAATTAACTATAATTAACTATAAATTCCCTATTTTAATTAACTATTAACTATAGTATGCCTATAGATGTGTATAAATCCATACCTATAAACTTGTATCTATAACCAAAATGCAGCTTTCTAGAATGTATTATGAAATGACTAGCCATGGCTGTAATGAAGCTGATCAAATAAATGTTTTTAGTATGATAGAGCATATCAATACATTCTTCATGAAGAACTCTCTAGAAATTTGGAAAGTGAAGACATTATTTAAATTGTCGATTTCTAAAGATAAATGAA